TGGAATTCAAATAAATGGTATCATTAATTTTATAATACGTATACAACAACAAAAACGAATAGGCCAACCTATTGTTGTAAGTGGATTCGTGCACTTAAAGGGATGAATGTAAATAAGTACACCTACTTGCAACATTTAACACGCCTGAATACACACCACAAGTTTAGAAGAGACAAATAGGTCGACGACTATCGACCCTATCGAGTTCATCAACTTTAATTTGTGTTTTCTTATTTTATAAGGGACCTGCCAGCCGACCTAGTGTAAAATTCTGGGAGGAAAAAAACATTGTAGTTAACGCGCATAATTGATGTAAATTTAAAACTTATTTAGCCACGGAATTTTCTGCTAGTTCGATTAGCGATGATAAAGCAAAGCGAAATGTAAACAATGGAATTCTGCCCTATTTTTCTCTTTTAAACAAAACCGCGTGCACTCGCTAAGCAATGACATTTTTAACAATAGCATTAGCTTATCCGTGTATTGTACACCATATTAAACCCATTGATACTAGTAGTTTCCAAGCAAATATTTAATTTAAATTTGAAATAAGTAAATATTTTTAATTTTACCATATTGAGTTACATTGAATGATCACCGAAGCTAGAAATTATTATCAATTATTTTGTTTACAACAAAAACTATTTAGATTATTTATTAATAATTAATAATTTATGCTGACATTTTTATCTACAATTACAATGTGTTTATCATTGCTAATGATTCATTAGCTTAACTAATTTGTTTAGGTTTTTTTTTAATCGGTCTAACTTCACTTCTCGACACTAGAATTTGCTTACTAATAGCAGTTTTAACAGTCAAGTGTGTATCATATACATATCACATACATCACATTTAAGGCACTTTATCTTCCTTGTTTCGCAGTCTGATAAAAATTGACAACCAAACGAATCCGAATATGAAAATGAACACCGGACAAACGCCAATGATGTCCAGCTAGTTTGTTAAATACAATTTTTTTTCACAATCATTTTAGTGATTTTAAGTTTTAATTGCACACGTTACGAACATTGTGACGCATCGTTTTTCCTTTAGGAAAATGTTGAGAACTGCTTAAACGTGCTTCGTCGATGAATATTCAATTACTAGCGTAGTCGAATCGATTTTCCATAGACAAGTGGTCATTGCGTCACTGTATGTCTTCTCAATAGTCACAATTTCCTAACTTTTAAAAATAAATATTGTCGCGTGTGGATAAATAAATGGAATCACTTGGAAGAAAATTAATTTTCGAACGCAAACGACCACATTACACTTGAATTTAAACGAAAATAATAAACAGAAACATACACAAGGCAAAGTAAATATTATTCTAAAAGCGTTGGCGTACACAACATTGCATTTATCTAATCGTTATTAAATTATGAGCTATGATGATGACCAAATCAAAATTTAACGGCCAATCTTTTATAACGTTATGATTGAAAACTATCAAACACAATCGATTATAATATTAATTTGATAATATAATTCTTACAATAATAGAATAGACTACTTTTTTGTGCTGATTAAATAATAATAAATAATAAATTCAGAAACGAATCGAATTCACTTACAAGAAGAAATAATTATTTTCCCGGACTCGATACCTGTGAATAAAAAGCCAAGATGTTGAATAATTACTTCGAAAATGAATCAAAATAATAGTGAAGTAAAGTAAGCGTAGTTGCTATTCGTTTTAAATGAAGGTAAATGATACATTAATGGGGTAATGTACTTATATTTATGACCAAGCCTTCTGGAAGTTCAATATTTTTATAAAATGCCATGTCGGTCATCGTATAATTATTATTCATTAGGCGTTACCGTTATAAATTTGTTTCCAGTTCATTAACCGTTATTGTGTTTAGTCTGTTTACTCTTCCTTCTTTACTCTACTCTACCTTCTACTCTCGTGTGCCGAATTTGCATTTTAAAAAGATGGACAATACTGAGTCAACAAATGCAAGGGCGGTAAAAACAATTTCAAGAAAAATATCCAAGACTTCCAAGCCGATTTCAGTGGTTTGTCTCTTATTTCAAATATAATTTAAAGATAATTTTAGAACTACCGCAAACAGTAGTCTAGCAGAATGAATCAAAATAAAATCTTAAGCAACTTCCTTCATAACCAAAGTAGTGAAATTAATTAGCAATTTTCAATTAGTAAAAACGAAATGTAGGGAAAGTGAGTGTAGCATTTGTTAAACACGAAAGCTAAACTCCTTTTAAATTAAAAAAAAATAAATTATACATGAGTTATACCATTAAAGATTAAAAGTTTTTAAAATATACACCAACAAAACTGACAATAATATTACTTTCTATAGTCAATGCTTAAAAAAAGTATTTGAATAAAGTACTCGAGTAAATTTATTATAGCACTGAATACAGTTTTAAATAATCATTACAGGTATTACTTTTAGTTATAATTAATGGACTAGGTTTATCATTAAATAAAAATGGCGTTTAGTGATGAAAGGCAATAAAAAACAACTTGAAATATGTAGAACGAATGTTATGTGTAGTCTGGTGACAAGTTTAAGGTTCAATGCAACATTTAATAAAAAAAAAAAAGACTAATATAACTAACGAACTTTTTAATTTTCTAAAAAGTTATAACTTTGAAATTTAATTATTCGTTCTTTGTTACCTAATTAAATAACATAAATTATAAGATGTTGTTTTATTATGTATTATATAACGTCATTTTTGTTTTGTCTAGTATTTAAAATACTTCTGAAAAATATTTGGCACTCAAGTAAGTTATTTGGAAACCTATTTTACCAATAATTTAAGCATTCGGAAGATGTAAATATTCAAACATTTTTAAAAAACATTTTCAATCTCACAGTTTAAAACAAAAATTCGCCCAAAAGCTTTTGGTTGATATCGTGTTGATTACTATATTAGCCAATTGTTTAGCAAATCAAATTGAAATTAATTTATTCAAAAAAAAAAAAAAGTTCTCAGCAGTTTAACCGCTTATTTATTCGACAGGTATTGTTTTTAACGTCACGTTTATCGCTGTTACTTAGCTTCTACTCAATGGAAATTATCAATTATGCATTCGACTGGTGGCACACGTTAATTATTTTAAGAAAATAATAATAACCAAACAAGTGGAATGTATAATATTCGAACGTGGAGGCCGTCAATGCCGTTGGCAGTGCATTCGTCGAGTGAATGAGAACAAACAATAAATTCATATAAATATTGAGATAACGAGCAAAAGCATTTAACTGACTTAATACATGAAATTTAACATCGCTTAGAGCAATGTCAAGTCAATTGGATATAGGGTCGGTAAATAAATGAATACAGAATTAAAAAAAAATGGTAATAATATAATGAAAATGGGTTAACGCTCTTAAGCGCGGAAGCATTAGTTTTTTTTTTAATAAATAATTCACAAACAAGTGTTATTTTAACAGTCGGCATATCTCCTCTAACGCGTATAGAACTGGGCCACTTAAATATTTTCATTTCAAATCCAACCCTTTGACCTTTCAGAATCGACAACCGTAACGGCATCTCCGGCTCACGCGAAAAAACGCTATCACAAGTATAATAAAAACACATAATCGCTATAACAGACATTCCAATACGTTAAATACAATATATTGTGACATAATATTATGCCGTTGTTGTTTTTTTTTTCATTTACTGTTATCATAGGTCGTGCATGTTTAGAGAGATATTACTCAAGGAATCGATTACACACAGAGTTGAAGGTCACGCGAGAAACAGATTTAAATGAGCTCGTTGGAAATAGTCGTTATGAAATGAAATTAAACTGAAAAATGCAAGTACCCAAAGACACGTGCGACCTAGTACCAAAGCGAACATCTCCAAAAACAACAATAAACCATTTTAATAATGATACAATAAAACCTTGAGATAAGCTCAAAACATAAAAGTTTACTCCCCAGTCGGCCTAGCAATAATGAACAGAAGTGAGCGATGGACGTTCAATAAAAAGATATGATGTATTTTTTACGGATGAGAGTACAGAAGTGTTACACCAGTGCAATGTAGGAGTGCTTAGAATAAAGACGGTTTGAGAATAAGAATATCTTAAGCAGAGTACGCTAATTACGGTTTAGTAATGAGTAGGTGATAGAAGATAGTAGAGAACTTAACCTAACTTTATCAGCCTGGTGACCAAGTGGTAATGAGAGTGGGAAATTAGAGCTATTCGGAATCAGTTGTAAAGAGAAACCTCTGATGAAAATGTTACAAGTAGAATAAAGTGTCGTTGGACGACGTGGAATGAGACAACGGAAAAGATATGTGACAGAAAAGTGTCATTTTAGAGTAATAGGAAACCTTTTTAAATATGTACTTACAAAAATCGTTAACAAAATGTAAATACATTAAGGTACAATTATGTGATACAAGTAATAAAAGAGTAGAACGCATAATGTAAACGAGAGATATTGGCCTTTGACCTTTGTACGATCCAAAGTACAGTTTTTAGACAACATACACCACCCACCTAACCGAGATTACAGCGACCATTAAAAAACTACATACATTGACTTGACGGGCATATCCGTGTTCCAATGACGTGTCCATTGTTTGGCCGACAACACCATTGGCTATAATAATAATATACCTACCGGTTAAAATTGCTGACGAGATTCAAGTTCACTTTTTACTATCAATATTTTTTTGTCATATATATTTATATATTATGTATATATCAATTTTTTTTATTAGCGGTCCTTGAAATTACTTGTATAATTAACACGCTGCCGGTATACAGCGAGTACGACAGCACTCATTCGCTGCAAGTCCGGCGGCGACACCGAACATATATTCAAGCTAATTACTATCATTCATAATAATATATTATGTGCTGTTGGTCTACTATCAACTATCCGAGTATACAGGCCGACGGAGAATAAACTCGTTATTTACAATTTTACTCCGGTTGAATAGCTTAAATAAAAGAAAAATGTTTTTCTTATCAAAAAAGTGGTCGTTTGCAAATGTACCTCGGTTGAGTTCGGGCAGTATCATCCGGACCCTGGGCGGTTTTTCGGACGAGGAAAACCTAGGGTCGACCGGCGTTTTGGCGGGCACCGAAGGAGACATCAGGTGGTAGATGCACTTGGGCGATTCTCCTTGGGTTTCCAACGCACTCGAGCCCACCACCAAAGGGTAGCCGGCAGCGCATTCCTGCTGGCCACCGTTGCCTTCCCCGCGATGGCGACCGGTCAGCTGCTGCTGCTGTTCGTCCTGCGTTGGTCGGCGACCATCGATACCCTCGCCGCCGTCATCGCGCTGGCCACTCATCTCATTATAGGCCACGGCCGACACCAGCACCACGCCGTTTCGTCATAATTATTCGGTCAGTCCTAAGTATGTATTTTGTTTTTGATTTTATTGTACGTACACACCACATAACACTACAACGGGCCACCCGGTCGAGAAACGGTAGTCGCGCGCAAGAACGTTGTTTAAATTACACCTAACATGCCTATTAATTGGGCGGTGGTTTGTGTCAATAAGGTAGACTGCTTCAGGCAGTTACACGCGTTTATGAAATTCCGAAACTTAGAATACAGGGTCGGATCGAGACGACTTAAGTTTAGGCCGAGAAATGACACTTACCTTAGGAAATATCTGGCCAACTACTTGAATTCTAAAGAAAGTGTGCGACTAGTTTTTCAAAATGGGTTAAATTTTTGGTTAATATTTTAGTAGATTAACACTGCACATCAAGACTTTGGAAAAAGAAAAAAATAGATTTATTGGTTCTTGTTCCAAAAAAATGTTTGTTATACAGTATTTTCCTTCCTTCCCGGTCGAAGAAACTTTACAATTTTACAATTCATTAGGCCGACCTGACCTAAACGTTTGTACATCGTTTTAAGATATTACATTTAACGTTTAATACAAAAAAGGCTGTCATGAGACTGTCGTAGAAGCTGAAAGTTTATATTCTCATCATATTTAATTTTCACCGTACTTTGTCGACATATCTTATCAGCGCTGTGATTTCTCTTATCAGATATTCATATCGCTTTTTCGTAATGATTTTAGCGGGATTTTCATCGTAAAATAATCATTTTTATTAAAATAATATACTATAAACGTTCCTCAAAAATATACAAATAACGTGTATGCTCTCAAGTTATGACGTCTATAGTTCATGACTAATTTCTGTTAAATTATCCTACACGCATAGCACATTACTATTACATGACCTCTCGACGTGCATTATATGTCATAATAATCTGTGCTCCGTTTCCTCGTTGCATATTCCTCTCACTCGCTGATCTCTTAGGGTACACGATAAATAATGATATTGTTATCTCGAGATATACCTAACCGGGTTCGAACGAAAACTGGTTTGGTCGCTAAACGAACGCACAGTACAGTAAAGTCAATACCGCCACTGTAAGGATTCACTAGGCAAAGTGTTTTTAAATCCATCTACAGCACTGAGTAAACCACCGCTTGCATTTTTTAAAAAAATATTATTTTGGAAAATCAATAGAGCAAAATTTAACAAAATATAATGCAGTCGTTTTGTCCTTTCACTTTTGCCCATATCCTACACAAGAAATACACTAGATGGACAGCTGAGAATTTTTTAAAATTAATATCATACAACTTACAAGTACATTGATGTTGCTTGTATCATACGAGGGTTGGGCAGAAATAAAATCAGCAAATAAATCATGACTAGTACAAGTTGTTGTTTTTATGTTTTAGTTTAACATTTCTAACGACAATTTGTCAGCCAGCGCGCGCTTGCGTTTCTCGACCGTGTTTAACTGTTGTTTTTATAAAGAAAACTGCCCGGAAGGGTCGCATAAAAAAAGAAATCAAGAACTTTTTAAACATTTAAGAGAAGTACAAGTTCATAAAGCATTTGAAAAACTGGAATTTTAAATGGAACTTACTGAATTTTAAGATGCTTTTACAAAATTAACTCTAAGAGCTTTTAAGGTCATTAAAAAAAGTGAAAATATTATGATTTTGGTATAAAAAATTAGGTGTGATTAAAAAACCGGTAAATTATAGAATAAATAAAGAGTCCGAACGTCCAAAGTGCCGCCATAGGATACAAATATAGTTTTACAATTCGGTGTGTATTTTATTCATTAAACAGTTACAAATAAGTATACTTCCAAGTGATAATATTACGGTTGTTTATTTATTCTTCACTAGAAAAACATACCAATTTGTTTACGGAAAAGTATAAAATACAAATCTAAATTATTAAAACTAAATTTTGAATGCTATGGTTCTTGGAACGTTTGACAATTTCACTCTTCATTAATACAATAATATATTTGGTGGAAAACCCTTGGTGAACTTTTTTATGCGACTGTCCGGCTTAAGTTTTTTGTTTTGATAATGATAAACTATGTTTGTTTTTACCGCGTCCAAATTCTTGTGGTATCCTCACAAATACAATTTAAAAAAAAACACTTTCTTTATCGCACTATACACGTCAACTACACGGCGGTTGATCGACGGTAGTGTTTTGCAAACACGACTTAAACAACATGTTATTACTTAAAAAATTTAATTGAACTTTTTCATACCGATAAGGAAAACGCATAACAGGACGTACGTACCGGTACGACATAACGCGGTGGACTAGAGTAAAGAACCGGAAAAAAAATCGTGCGGTTAAAGTATGGCATAATAAAGTCATAGGACCAAGCCCAGCCCATTGCACGATAATCAATGGTGTCGACGGTACGGTAATTACCGTACGCGCACGATAGTCGAACAAACAATCAATTAAATCCCATCATCACATTGTACGGTATTAATATGACCACAGCTGCTGAGAAACACGTGCAATACTTTTAATCATCATAGCGATCATTAGCACAAAAAAAAAAAATTATAAACCAGCAAACCGTTAAAAAACAAATACCAACGGCTAACTGATAGACAGTCGAGTCAATCTAAGTGTGTGTGTGTGTGTGTGATGATGTCACTATAATTCCTGTTTTACACACACACACACATACACATTACACTCAGTTTACTACCGACGTATAAATCATTTAAATAAAACGAAACGACACACATAATAATTATTTTTCAACCATAATATTAACAAACACGTGGTAGTATACGTATACATAGTACAACTACTATTATTGCTATCTCGGTGTGAGGCACTCCACTCTCGTCGACAGCAGCTAATTATTATTTAATAATCTACTCGCACTAAACTATATACACCCAATAGGGCATTAAACCTATTTTGTTACATACAAATTACTATTTTCAAAGTAGGTATCTACTTACATCGGGGCGTCACACCATCAAGTTTTAGGGTCTATAAGTTGGATAAAATTTTCGATTTTTCAAAAGCTTATAAAATCTTCACGCCAAAAAATGTTATCGAAAGAAGTCTAATTAAATATGTATAGATAAACAATATTGTTATTTTAGTTTGTCCAAAGTAACAATACCATAAAACAAAATGCTCAGCTTAAAAAAAAAATGCACCTTGCGAAACGTATGGTAAATAGGGTTTGACCGCATTATAAAAGTTTAAAATAACTATTGATTATGAAACATTTAGATATTTAGATAATAGTATAGACAATTTAGGTAATTCCCTATACTTTAGTGATTAGTTCTCAATAAATAGGTGGTTAGGTGCCCTCTTATAAGACAAAAACCCAATAACATGTACAAATACTATAATATGTAATTGCATACTTTTAGTACTTAAGCAGGACAAATGTACAAATGGCAAATTAACTAATGTTAAGGGCGGTTGTACTTAAAATGTAAAACTTATTCAATTAATTTGTTAATAGTTTACACAATTGTGTGATTATGATATAAATCTTTCGTTGTTAAATTGATAACAATCGTTCCCAATGCCTAATGGTACCCAAACATTTTACCAGACCGATTGTCCTCGTTACAAGTAAAATCTATTAAATAAATAATAATTATGATTATACAATTATTGTAGTCCAGTTATAAAACTTATTCGACATTTTCCCATTGTGTATTTTTATTTGTGTCAATTGGCCTGATAAGTCCAGATTTACTTTTCGAGAAAACAACTACTAATTTTCGTTGACAAAACAGAACCGCTAAACAACAAATTAGGCCGGACGACGGCATATTTTGTGAGTTAGTCGAGTTAACAGCTCACCTAACTCATAAAACATCAGTTCTGGCAAGACGCGTGCCATAAGGAAAACGGCCAAAAAGGATGTACCTACATAAGTATGTGGGAATTTAATACCCCCCTCACCCAAAAATAAATATATTGAATTTTCAACAAAAAAAACCAACAACCGTTGGTAACATTATACAGACAACAATATTCTACCGTGCCTACAGCCTGTTCCGTAGGAAGTGAAGTGAAGAGACCGACCAAAGGGATTTAATGCACTTTGGGGTGAATGACTCATCGTCGAGGGGAGAGAAATTCGATGCTGCGCCACAGCGCAGACCCTTTTGCATCAACGAAGAGCATTATTATAGTGTAGGCAAAACAATGTATATAGTAACTTTACATGGAATACAATCGTTCATGGAATAAAAGCCAATGCTTAATACTCACAAAAAACTGCACTTGGAGAGCTAAAATTAAAATTTTTTAAAATACAGATTTTCGAATTAGAAAAGTAAATATTCATTCGATATGATTATACATTTGTTAACTTAAATAATCATACAAGTATTTAATTAAATACAAAATTATTCAAGTTAAAAATATTGAAAATGTAATTAAATTATTTGCCAATCAATTAAATTCGGTAAAATAAAAATGTATTTGATATTATTATTTAGTTCTTGGTTTATATAAAAATAAATTGTTTTTTTTAATATAATGCCCAGGTTTGCTCTGATGTACTATACATTTTGTAACTTTGTAATTTTTAAATGCAATAACAGCTATTTGGTACCACTCAGTAGAATAATATAAAATTAAAATTTTTTTTTTTTTGTTAAGTATTAAGTGTTTGTTTAAGTACTTTAGAGTGCAAATATGTAAATACTACTTAAATACTTTTAAAAGTATTTTTTGCATCTCTGTATGTCATTAGTCCACAATTTGAATTCTAGCAAACATTATTTTAGATCAGATAAACAAGTGTAAACCTTGATGTTGAGGATAAACAAAGTACATGTTAAATGATTCAAAATTATATTATTAAACATAGCAGTTTCACATAAATTGAATAAATCATTAACTTATAGGCAGTTACGTTTTTAAGATGAATATCATCAAATTTAATGTTAACAACATAGTTTAAACGTTTAAATAAGTTGTTATTTATTTAAAATTGTAATTGAAAAATTAACTAATTTTGTCAACCCCACAAAGAAGATTGAATGTTTTTTCTATTCTGGTATCTTTACCATACATAAACAATCGTAGAGGAACAGACTAGCCGGCAGGCATTGCGAGCCGAATACAATACCACTCCAAATAGCATAGCTAAGCGTTGCTTTGATTCATAAGTAAATTTAGAATTTCATTTCAACTAACGTTCACTAAAATGTCTATTATAATTTATAAACTAACTTGGAAACATATATTTTTATATAAATTTCCAAACGCGTTTACAGTGTTGGAATAGTTTTTAACACCACTGACACAAGTGTAGATCTCACTCTTAAGAGATTGTGTTCATACAAATAACTTTTACGTTATATTAGTTTTTAGAAATATTTTTAATAGCTTTGTAGATCGTAATTCGTAACGCACATCGCCAAAGGTTAGTAAAAATTTGCTGACACTTAAATTGTTATGGCCGTAAAGAGATAAGAACATACATACATTAAATATTGTTTCATATCCCAAGTACACATTCAAACAATGCATTGCGTTCTATTTTACTCAACTTCTTTTTATACATCATAATGTTTTTTTTAAACTTGTAGGAATATTTAAAATTACTTTTTATAGCAAAATAAGCAATTTTTACAAATTTAACACCACTCTTACAACAGGTCGTCATTAGGTACTTTTCTGATTTACTCACAGACATAAATCATTCTAAAATGTAAAATATGCATAACCGTTGTAATATAAAGTCACATATTTTCTACTTCATAATAAAAAAAATATGTTTTGCAAATTGAATTTGGATATTGGCAAAGGTTACCATAACAACACAATATTCACAAAACGCCGTTAATTCATAGTCAATTCAAATATTGTTAAATTAAAAAACAAACAAGGAAATGATGAATTTGAAAAGATAATTCAAATGACAGCATCGGTGCATTGTGTAAATAAATTATATTGTGATACAACAAATTAAAGCCTATTAAATAGGATTTATTATTATAGTCTACATCAGCGTTTTTGGCTAGAAACTTATTAAATTAACACTATCGTTGTTGTTTATAAAAAAATATACTTTGACAAATTTTAATTGTTTTTTAGGAAATAAATAAACTATTATTGAGTTTTTATGTAACAACCTAACTCAGATCTCTTATCAGATTATGCTATACTAATTATAAAACAAGATTTTAAGCTTATTTCTACTCCCTTGTTAACTACTAAGGTCGGAATGTTAAAATCAATGGTCTTTTAACATAATTCGAGTACTCACGGAAATAGTTAAGCGTTTCACGTATATATTCTTTTGAAAGACTAGCCGTGTCGACTTCGTCTTCGTTCAAAGCTGGACTCGGTATGTACCAATCCTTATTTTCGTATCCTAAAGAATAAAAAAATGACGATGAGACACATATAACAATAATTAAATAGGGAAGTTGCATAAAAAAATTTAGAACTTTTTCGATAGACAATAAACAAAATTGGTATAAGCCGCATAAAAAAATTATTAATTTTAAGTGTGTTTCAATAAAACAAAAAATGATCTAAAGTTTACAATATTTTGAATACGATTGGCGCAAAACTTATTTTTACTAAATATTGTATCGATAAAGAATGTATATTAAATTTTCTGCAATTTCTCTGATGTAAATGTTTATACAAATGAAATGTACCCGTAAACTGAGTCAAAGTGTCGGCTCTCAATTTATATTGTGGTATGGTTTCTTCCAGTAAACTGATCAGTTCGACTTCTGGAAGATCATCATTGCTGCATATATCTAAAAACATTGAAGCGATTGTTAGTAGATAAAAACATTTGCATAATCGAGCACAAATTCTGTTAAATTTTTATATAAATCTAAACTAAAAATATGTTAACTTCTTTGTGTAGTCGAAAATCGTTAACCTGTAGTTAGAGTACACAATTTTCGGTACGATTACTACACTTCATTAACCCGCACTTAAGCGGAGGTTTAACCAAAAATTCAAGGTAAAAAAACATGGCACTAATTAATCAGTCAAACAAAGAATTTGTCGGACATTATTTTGGTAAAACTCCAAACAGAATACGACGTACGTCTACAAATATACATATGACATTAACAGCAAATGGTTTCACTTAAGAACTCCTGCAAATATTACTTGGTTACAGTTAGAGGCGTTATATCTATATGCATATATTTTTTATTTTTTATCTATAGAACCCGTTTAAATTATTTTAAACACAAGCTTTGATTTTTTACTCAACAGACCTACCTGCTTGCCACGTATTTAAAATGTCTTGTTCTCTTTCATCGAGTTGGTTCGCTTTCTTTTTAAATC